CTAATAACATATGCAATGATTCTATTAGCATTATAACAAAACTCATTGATAATAACAATATTAAAGTAACTTTTCCATTATTCACAAATATTACTAGAATAATAGTTTAAAAAAACAACATATTTTTTTATTGACAAAAAAGAATCTTTACAAAAACAATTTCTCTTTTAGAACACATTTACTCTAACTACTTACAAAGTATAAAGACTAACTCTACCTCATATTACTTTTAGCATTGACGAATTCATATTTATTAAAAGCCAAGTCTATATAGCAATAAGCCGTACTACTTCTTGGAGAAACCTCAATCTAATAAACTTTGACCTTAAATATTTAAAAACTTCAAAAGCTGCTCTAAACAAATATGAAAGACTATATTCAATATATGCTAGAGGTCTTAGAACTCTACAATAACTTAATAACTTTATACCCTTACCTCATAAAACCTTTTCTTTCTTACTTTAAATCTATATTGCTTTTTCTTACAATCTAATAAAAATTACTCATACCAAAACCCTCATTTAAAACTACAACCATGTATCTATTATACTATTCAACTTTCTTTTTAACTCAACTTATAGCCATCAATAATATATTAACTTCATACTCTATCTATATATCAAACTTTATTTCAAACTGATAATATCACTTTATTTTTAACTACAATTATAAATAGTAGATAGTAGTTACATAGCCCTTACTATTATTATCATATTTTTCTTAATCTTTAATAAATTTATTACACATATTATTTTAATTTGCTAAAACTATCTTTTATACTTATAAATCTCATTAATTCTCTATATATCCTAATCTCTAAAACTTATTAATTTACTGTTATACACTTTTCAATTAAAATCTAACTACTAAAAATTTCTTTATTTCTCATATAACAATTAACACACCGCAACTGCATCCTGTACAACATGAACCTTGTTGCTAATAATACAATTATTAAAATTCTAAATATTAAAAATCCTAAAAATCATTAAAAAAAAATTTATTAACAATTCATTAAATTTTTTTAAATTAGAAAAATAATACTTGTATAGCCTTTTTTTAATAATACTCTTCAAACTTTGTGAGTATATCTTCCATATTCATCGTATTTTGCTTCATTAAATTGGTTAGCAAAAATAATAAATTTATTAATAGAACTGCCTTGTATCATATTAGTGATAAAGACAATGAATTTAGAGAAATTACTTATAAAGGCTTTACTGGAAATATAGAATCAAAATTTGATCATTCATATATTAAATATGTAAATTCACTTTTCTTAAACATTTAACAAAATTATTATTTATAAAACTTACTTATATTCCTTTTAAGATTTGTCTTGTCTAAGCTATACCAATTTTCTTCTCTAATACTGATTCTATCTATATATCTGAATATCTTCCTTATACTTTTCCCATCTTAATATACTTCACTCTTGCTATAACTAACTTATATAAATTTAATAACAACATTGGTCAACAAAGTTTCATGCTATCAAAAAAACTATATAATCTAGTTACTGATCAAAAAAGAATAGACTCTAACATTATTGTGTCTTATACAAACTTAAATGGCTATCACAACTCTCTCAGTAATAGTTTAAAAAACTGTTCTCTTGATGATTAGAAAATTTAAATTTAGTCTACAAAGTAAATCCCTCATATAATTTTTTCTGAAATCAAATGGAGTTATATAGCAAATAAATCTCAATTATTAATACTATTTACAGCTAGAAAATAAAAGCATATAAAGAATTTAATGATCAACTCAATTTAGTTGAAGAGCAATATATATCTATAAATTCTCAAGTCTTCAAAAGACAAAACTTTATTCTTTTCGCTTTCACATCAAATTCTACTAACTGTTGATCTTACAAACCTTATATCTGATATCCGAGATGATAAACTTACTCCTCAACAAACTTCTGATAAATTATCTGCTACACAAAATTAAAATAAAAATATAGTCAATATCTATTTTTAGTCTTTAAAGTTAAATAATCTAGTTTTTTAAAATAATTTTATTACTTCAAATATTACTATATGATGCTATATATAGTACTCTATAATAATAGTATCTTACTAACTAAAACCCAATAAAGGTCTATATACTTTTATCTAATAAATACAACTTATGTTTAAGGATTATTAAATAC